GGGGTTGTACCCGGTGAGTGAAGTTTTGCGTTCAGGCTTCTTGCAGGCGTGCCCTCCAACAAAAGTCGATCGGCACAATCCACTTCAAACCACCATGGAACACCGAAAATCCCCTTCCCAACTCAACTGGAGATCCCTCTAAAAAAGCGTAACATGTTTGGGGATCCAATATTCATGTTGAGAAGAGTTGTTGGGGTGCCCGCTCAAAAGGTTCAAGGGGCGCGAGTCACTGCAACTGGTGACTCTTCCCAGGAAGGTTCCGCGCGTTAACTTCCTAAACGGAAACATCGCAGGAGAAGGACTGGCTCCCAGGGAGCCAGCTATTGTGCACATGTGTTTGCCCAACATGGATGCAGTTGTACGTGCTTGTCATGCAACAAATATAGCGGCTGGCATTGCCAGTTGTCCTCCTGCAACGCTCAATGAAGAGAACAAGCTGTCATCTGGTAGATGCCATTCGATGTGGACTTTCCAACAAGGTTGAAGTTACACATCTGAATCCCATCTGCGCCGTGAACAAGTCAACTAGTGCACCTCTGCAGGCTTTCTCGTTCCACAACAAGTACTCAACCGTACACATGCCAAGGAAGCAGCGCGACCATCAAGATGCAAGCCAGTGGTTCTAAGTTCTGACAACATACACGCCTTCGACGCAAGAATAATTCGACCACCAAAGGCGTCTCAAATGTTGGCAAGCATCACTCGCAACTTTGACACATGCGGAAAGTTGTCGTTCGGGAAAATGTGTACATGGTTTTTCCTCGCTGGCCGACGGCATTCGAGGGAACCTCCTGAAATGTGGGGTCGATTTGTTGATGGTGTCTAAAGAATAACACAAAAACCAAACAGGTTTAGTCGTTGATGTGGTGTTTCTGGAGTTAACCACATTCTCCCTGGCAAGTGATCTATCACCCCGACAACACGGAGCAAAGTTCCGGTACCCCCACCCCTCTCCCTCACGGCCTCTGAGCGTACGAGTAGACTGGCATCAGACCAACAGCATGCGGCTGCCCCGATTTTGGATATACAAACCGCCAGAAATGGTATGCCCACTTGGGTCATAAGATGTGTTCGGGGCCCAACATCCTCTAGCGCTGCCCGGCCCTGGTTGATTTCAACGGCTTCGTTCAGAACGGCTGGCGGCATATTGTCGAGCAGAACGGCTTCGACGCCAATCTCGAGTGCTTCTTTCAGCTGCTCTAGCGTATCGACCTCAATCTCAATCCGAACCATGTGCCCGGCTTTCGCGCGCGCGCCATTGATCGCTTCCGCGATGCCGCCTGCCATGGCTATGTGATTGTCCTTGATCAGGATGGCGTCATAGAGCCCGAAGCGATGGTTCACGCCGCCGCCGGCGCGTACTGCATATTTTTCAAAGGCTCGGAGCCCAGGTGTGGTTTTTCTTGTGCAACAAATGCGCGTATCCGTGCCTGAAACAGCATCAACAAATTTCCGAGTCGCCGTCGCAATGCCCGACAGGTGCCCCAAGAAGTTAAGAGCGACACGCTCACCAGTAACAATGGCGCGGGCATTGCCTTCAATGGTGGCAATTACATCCCCGGGCGTAACGACAGAACCATCTGGCTTTTGTACAGAAATTCTAAGACCCGGATCCATCTCCCGGAAGGCTGCGCGAGCCGCATCAAGGCCCGCAATGCAGCCATGTTCTCGGGCGCGTAGCACCACCCGGGACCGAGTATCGGCAGGAATGGTGGATTGGCTCGTTATATCGCCCGCATCGCCCAGATCTTCAGCAAGCGCCGCCCGAACGGCACTTTCGACGATGAGGGAGGGCAGGGGCGTGAGATCAGAAAGAATGCTCACTGAATGTGACCTCGTTTGATTTGGTGCTCTTTCGTGGTGACCACGTCGCGGGCGAGTGCATCAGCCTCATCAAGGGTGATCAAAGTGCGATGTTTCCATGCCGCATCAGTTTGCGGATGGTCAATCCGGAAGTGGCCGCCTCGACTTTCTTCTCGCTGAAGAGCCGCCGCCGTAATTAGTTTTGCAGCTGTCACCATATTCACAAGCGCAGGTGACGATCCGGCTGCACGTTCGATGCGAACGATCTGCTGCAATGCCTCTGTGAGACCTTTGGCATTCCGCACAACGCCGACGTGGCGTGTCATCACGTCGCGCAATTCCTGCACAATAGAGACTGGATGGGTCCGGCGGGCACGAAGCGCGGGGATCGCAGCGGTCGCAGCTGGACCAGCTTCAACAGACCCGAGAATATCCTCAGCGATACGTGCCCCATAGACAACGGCTTCGAGCAAGGAATTGCTGGCAAGACGGTTGGCGCCATGGGCCCCCGTCGAGGCGACTTCACCGCAGGCCCAGAGACCCGGCAGCGAGGAGCGTCCATCTCTGTCCACGGCGATACCGCCCATGTGGTAATGCATGGCAGGGGCAACCGGGATCGGCTCGCGTACCGGATCAATTCCCATCCGCTGGCAGTTTTTGAAGACGGTTGGGAAAGCTTGTTCGAAATCCGCTCCAACAGCATCGCGCGCATCAAGATAGGCGTTACCACCTTCGGCAATGACCCGTGCAATGGAGCGCGCAACCACGTCGCGGGGTCCGAGTTCTGCGTCTTTGTGAATGGCCTTCATGAAGCGCGTGCCATTTTCGTCAATGAGCGTCGCGCCTGCGCCCCGCAATGCTTCTGTTGCCAAAGGAGCAGGGTCCTGTGGACCGGCAATGGCGGTTGGATGAAACTGAACAAATTCAGGGTCGGCGATGACAGCTCCAGCACGGGCAGCCATAGCAAAGCCGTCGCCGCGAGAGCTCAGCGGGTTGGTTGTGACCTTATAGAGCCCGCCTGCGCCGCCGCTTGCCAGAACCACCGAACGAGCGCGCAGGAGAAGAGGTGAAGGTTCCAGATCGCCAGTTGGTTGGACAAAAACACCGGCCACTTTTCCTTCTTCCATGGCGAGCTCGTAAGCCGAGAAGCCTTCAAGGATGCGAATGGAAGGTGTCTTGCGCACAGCTGCAATGAGCGCCTCCATGATGGCATGTCCAGCTCGGTCGCCCTGCACATGAACAATCCGGCTTCTGCTGTGGGCAGCTTCGAGCCCAACAGTCAGCTTGCCTTCCAGGTCCCGATCAAAGGGAACACCGAGTGACAGCAGATCCTGAATGCGCTCGCTCGCTTCCGAAGCGATGAGCTGCGCAATCTCTGGATCAACAATACCGGCGCCTGCAGCAATTGTGTCGGCTGCGTGCTCTTCCGGTGTGTCGCCTTCGGAGATGGCGGCGGCAATGCCGCCTTGTGCCCAGGCAGATGATGCCCCGTCGCCGATCGGTGCCGCTGCGAGTACTGTTACTGGGCGTGGGCTGAGTTTTAGAGCAGTGAAAAGACCGGCAAGGCCTGCGCCAACAATCAGCACGTCGCCCGCATTGACAATATGTCCGCCGGTAAGCGTATGTGTGCTCATGTGCCCAGCTCCCGAGTAATTGCCTGGAGCGTTTTCAATAAAAGTTGCAGACTTTTATGGTTCGAAAACGCGGTGAAAAAGATCAGAGCGGCAGGTTGATCATGCGCTCAACTGCAGCGCGTGCGCGCGGTGCGATAGCTGGATCCACGACAACTTCATCTTTCATATAGAGAAGGCTTTCGAGGATCTTGGGCAGGGTGATCCGCTTCATATGCGGGCAAAGGTTGCAGGGACGAATGAAATCCGTGCCCGGCACTTCGGCAGCCACATTGTCGCTCATGGAACATTCCGTCACCATCATGACCTTGTCGGGATGATTGTCCTTCACCCATTTGATCATGCCTGATGTTGAGCCAGAGAAGTCGGCTTCGTCTACGACCTCAGGCGGGCATTCTGGATGCGCGATGATCGATAGGCCTGGGTGAGCTTCGCGATATTCCCGCAGCTCTTCCGGTGTAAAGCGCTCATGCACTTCGCAATGACCTGCATAGGTGATGATCTTCACGTTGGTCTGGCGCGCAATGTTCTGCGCGAGATACTCGTCTGGCAAGCAGAGTACTTCCGGCACGCCAAGACTTTCTACGACCTGCACTGCGTTAGACGAGGTACAGCAAATGTCGGTCTCTGCTTTCACATCTGCTGATGTGTTTACGTAGGTGACTACAGGTACACCGGGATATTGTTCCCGCAGACGGCGAATATCAGCGCCCGTGATGGACTCCGCCAGCGAACAACCGGCTTTTTCATCGGGAATAAGAACTGTCTTCTCCGGGCTCAACAGTTTTGCCGTCTCAGCCATGAAGTGCACGCCGCACTGGACGATGACGTCGGCATCCGCTTTTGCTGCTTCGCGAGCCAACTGAAGGCTGTCGCCGACAATGTCGCCCACACAGTGGAAGATTTCCGGTGTCATGTAATTGTGCGCAAGGATAACGGCGTCGCGCTCTTTCTTCAGATCATTGATCGCCTTCACATAAGGCGCAAAGAAAGGCCACTCGACAGAGGGGATAACGTTTTTGACGCGCTCATAGATGGGCGCCATCTCTTTCGCGAGTCCGGGCGTATATTCCAGCTCCGGCATCTCAAGCGGTTTAAACTTAGGCTGTACCACAGCTGCATTCTTGGGCGCAGCTTCATGGGACTGAAGATCGGCGGTCATACTCGCCTCCCTTGATCATCTACATTTACTCAAAATGAGTATAAGTAGGGGCTAAAAAGACACCGGCAGAACCGGCTGAAGCGTTTCCAGATGAAGTTGCAGACTTCATCGCCAAAAGCCTTGGCGGAAACGCGACACAATAACAATGTACCCTTATACTACAATTGAGTATTAGACCTGTCAAGCAAACCAGAGGCACAATATTTCCCAGAAAACGTCTGTTTACGGGGCTTCTTCAGGCGTAGTTGAACTTTTTGGCGGAAAAACAAACTTCTGATAGAGCAATCCAATGCCGATGAGCGCCCCACCAAATCCGATAAAGGAAATCGCCCGAAGGAAACCGGTAAGGGCTGCCATGTCGAAGAGGAACCCTTTGGTGGTTGCCAGTGTGATCACCACCATGCCGGCAAGCCTGAGGTCCCGCCCACCTCGATAGAAACTGAGCGCGAAGATACCAAGCCCGATCAAGAGCCAGACGATGGAATAGACGTACCATTCCATGTCGCTCGTGGTCCCACCGGGCAGCATACCGCCCTGAAAGATCTGGCGGATCTGCAGCGTCGCGAAGGTCAACAGCAGGCCGAGGGTCGCGCCGCCGAACCACAAGGTTGTTTGGCGATCACCGCGCTCTTTGGCGGTGATACTGTAGAGGCCGGTAAAAAGGGCTGGTGCGAGATAGGCAAGCGTCAGCAGATTAAAGAAGAACAGGTCCCCAACAAAGGTTGGGACGAACAGCGGGTTTCCGAAAAGGAGTTGCGCAAGCAAAAGATGCGCAAGGCCCAACCATCGCAATATCTCTCCGGCATAGGTGAGAATGGTTCGGCCGTAGCGCTGGCCCAAGCGATAATAGAAGAAGGAGAGCGCGAGCCAAGTCAGTGTCTGAATGGCACGTTCGCCAAATTCATACTTCTCAGAGAACAGGTCACCGCCACTTATCCAGTGATGGATTTCCAATGAAACAAAGAGCGTAAAGAGAAGGGCGGCACCCGCTTCCAGACATTGCACCACCAGATCATCTTTATGTCGTCGCATCCACGTCGCCGTCACCGCCATGGCGGCAGCAGGTAGCGCATATGCGTAAATCAGGAAGTTGAAAATTGGAGTGGTTGAGATGTCGTAAGACATGAGAGCTGGATTGAAGGTAAGCCTAAGCATCACGATTCCAGCGATCAGCAGTGCCACCCAGCGCAAAAGAGTCAGTGCCAGTGAGGCGTTGATCCAGGCAATGCCAACAAGCAGGAGAGACAGAGACGCGGTGAGCCAGGCATCGCGGAGGACCATGGCAACGCCCAAGGAGAGCGCAGCCAATGCGGCGGTCGCATAGGCGCCGACTGCGCCGTCCGATCCTCGCTCGTCGCTCCGGCAGGTGCTGGCGGCATAGGCGAGCAGGCCGGCAACAAGCCCCGCAACCAGTCCCCAGGCCATGCTGGTCTCCATTGCGGTTGAGCGCCAATAGACAACAGCTAAGAGAACAATGGGAACCGTCCCGGAAACAGACGCCCAGAGACCTCTATTGCTGACCTTGGACAGCGCCCAATAGCCGCCGCCTGAATAGGCAAGGGCAAAGAGAGCCAAGACCCAGGTATAGAATTGAAGCTCCGAAGGTACCCCGGGAGGCGAGAGCGCTCCTCTGCTTGCTGCGTCACTCAACTCGAAGGGAATGGCGCCGATAGGCACCCAGAGCAAAAGGGTTAGGACGACGAGGCCGACGGATATCAGAAGCTCCCGATCAAGCAGTTGAACCCGGAATGCCGCGACGGCACCGATGGCCCCATAAGCAGCAAGAGAGAGAAGGGCGAGCGTTGCGTTGTCTTCACTATGGACAAAGAGAAGGCTCAAAACCCCGAACGTCGCAACTGCTGTACCGATCAGGACGCGTCGCCAATGCAGGTCATCTGCATCCTCAATATCGGGTGTGAGCGGCGTGAACATGAATGCTGCCGTCATCAGAGGCAGGTAGAGCGAGAGCATCACCAGATTGTCAGGATGTCCTACGAAGAAAATCGCGACGAGGGACCAGATCGCCGACCCTGCGACGGCCATCAGACCGATATACCACCAGGCCCGCAGACGTACGAGCGCCAGAACCGCAAGTGTGACGAAGGTAAGGTAGGTGAAGAGGATGATGACCGATGGTTCGTCGGACGAAACGAGGGCAGGTGTTGCGTAGCTTCCGATCAGCCCAAGGCCACCGAGGATGGGGCCATGAACCGCGGCGAGTAACACAGAGCCCACTGAGATGACTGCGAGCAGAAGGAAGACGGCTTCAGGTCCCAGCATGTCGTAGAGCGCATAGGACGCATAGGCCGTAGCAAACGCGATGACGATCCCCACAGCAGTGATGATGGGTGGAATGGCAACACCTGGCAGATTGGCGATGGCCTGCAACGACGGCGCTCGGCGAAGTTTTTCTCCCAGCACCAACAGGCCGACGGAGAGAAGAGAGGCCATAAAGATGCGCGCCCCGGGGCCGAAATACCCTTCATTGACTGCGTAACGCACCAGGAAAATTCCGCCAAGTGCGAACATCAACCCGCCCAGCCAGACAATCCACCTTGTGCCGATCTTCTGTTCTAGCGAGACAGAGGGCCCCTGATGTGCCACCTGGGCAGCAATAGCGTCCTGCGGTGCGGTGTCAGCGGGCTCTTCATCGGCCGGCTGACCCCAGGATTGCGCTCCTCGAGCAGGTGGCGCTTCCTCTTCAATGGGGGTGTTTTCTGTGGCTTCCGGTGCTGGTTCTGGCGCTTGGCTCTCCCGTTCAGATCGTTCAAGCGCGGCGTTGGCGGATATTTGTTGCGATGACGTGAGGACCGCGATCTCCCTTTTGAGCGCGGTGATGCGTCCTGCCAAAATGAGATACCCGGCGATAAAGCCAACCGTTAGCAGAAGAACCCAGAGTTCCATAAGCCATGCTCCAACTCAGCTGAGAGTGGGCGTTACCCCAGAATAAGAAAAGCCATCTTACGTATTTGCTCGAGTGCGGGAAGGGGCGAGGCGAAGACCAGGTGCGGGACGTTCGTTGAAGACCTCACGACGGAACCGGAACAGCTCCGCCGGGCGCCCACCGGTATGGGTGCTCATGCGCCCGGTGCGTTCCACAAGTCCTGCTTTTTCCACAAGCCGACGGAAGTTCTGTTTATGCACATGAAGACCCAGCAGTGCCTCACTTGTGCGCTGCAATTCGTAGAGCGTGAACGTGTCAGGCATAAGCTCAAATACCACCGGACGGTATTTCAGTTTTGCACGCAGGCGGCTGATGGCTGTCGCGAGGATGCGTCGATGGTCGAACTGCATCGGGACGCCGAGTTGCGGCGTATTGGCTTCTTCTAGACCGGCTGCATTGGGGCGTCCGTCTCGCAGGGCTTCTCGCACCAGTCCCGCTTCGTAAAGGAGCTCGTAGCGTTCCAACACGTTTTCTTCATCCCAAGCGCCCCCATCAAGGCCGAATGTGAGCCGCGCCCGGTCCCGCCGTCTGCCGCGCGCCAGCTCATCGCTTTCTGCGCCTCCGCTTTCAGACGCCCAATCCTGCAAAAGAGGCAGGATGATCTTGTCCAAGATAGCGGGGCGTCCGTCGCGCCAGTCTTCCCACGGGAAATATTGATACCAGCTGCGCCAGCTCACACCTTCGCGTTCTTCGCCACCGCGGGTGAGGGCGAGATAGCCGACAGATACAATGTGATCTGTGCCTTCTTCTACTTCGAGTGCATGACGACCGCGGTCTCCAAACGTGTAGAGCTGCTCTACATAGCCTAGTCCAATCTGCGTCTGTTCCTGCACCCAGGCCCGCAGCCCAATGTCCATGGTCCGATGGGTGAAGGGATCGAATGGGCCAAAGGGCAGTGCGTCCCAAACATCCTGATCGTTTTTTTCGTCCTTTTCCTGGGGGCGCACCACAACAATCTGAGGGAGGGAGTCAGCAACCTGAACAATCGCCGCGTTGAGATCGATCACAACGGGATTGGATGGGTTCTTTGGCGACGCTGGCGCCATCGTCAGATGTCTCCGGATTTTGAACTCTGAGGTAAGTCTACGCGATTCTAACCAAGATTGGACGATGTGCTGTCCTGTTCGGTGGATTTCAAAAGAGATTTAAAACGCTTCAGAAAAAGGGCCTGTGCCGCCGTCGGATTTAGGGGCTTCAGCTTAATCGGGGCGAGGCCACGAGGTCGTCCGAAGATGGCGGCTGCTTCTGCATCGGAAAATCCGGCTAACTGAGTGGCCTCTAGAAAGGCAGAGACACGGTCGGCGCGCTTGATGAGAGATTCAACCGTCTTGGGCAAATCGGCCGGCAATCCAAAGCGCAGGTGGATTGCGCTCTCCAGTCGGTGCTCGAAGCTCTTATAATCGTACCCGAGCGCCGCCTTAAACGGGCTGATCATGTCGCCGATGACATATTCCGGGGCGTCATGAAGCAGAGCCGCTAGGCGCCATTTGGCAGGCCATCCAGGGCGCAGGCGATGGCAGAGCTCTTCCACAAGAACACTATGTTCAGCGACAGAAAAGGGTTCATCGCCGATCGTTTGACCGTTCCAGCGCGCCACTCTGGCGAGGCCATGGGCAATGTCTTCTATTTCTACATCGAAAGGCGAGGGGTCCAGTAGATCAAGCCGTCGCCCGCTCAGCATGCGTTGCCAGGCGCGCGGTGTTTTTGTTTTCTTGTGGGAAGACTTCTTTGGCGGGGCCATGGGGCGTCCAGGATATTGCGGGCGCCAGACCCTAATCTTTCCGACCTATCTTGTCGATGCACCTGAGCATTGTTGTTGTCACCGGGAGCGCCTAGAGTCTCTCGATAGAACGCCCTGAATAACAAAAACAAAGCTGCAGCCGTGCCCTTAGAACCCTTGAGTGCTGATCTTCTCTATCGTGACTGCGATGTGTCGCAGTTTGAGTTTTCGACGACAGCTGAATTGTCCGACGCCATGGGCCTGGTTGGCCAGGACCGTGCCTTGGAAGCGATCCGCTTTGGCACCCGCATGGACAAGAGCGGGTACAACATTTTCGCATTGGGGCCGCACGGAGCCGGTATGCGGGACGGTGTGATCCGCCACTTGCAATCCATCGTGGGCAAAAGACCGGTGCCAGGCGATTGGGTCTATGTAAATAATTTCACCGACCCCAACAAACCTGTCGCCCTTCGCACAACGGCCGGTCGCGCGGAAGCGCTGCGATCGGGTGTTGCAGACCTGATCCAGGATTTGCGGGGGTCCATTCCGGCGATCCTTGAGAGCGAGGAATACAAGAAACGGCTGGCGGCCATTGATGCGAATTATACTCAGCACCAAGGCCAGGCATTTGAAGCCCTTCGCATCAAAGCTGAAGCCAAGAATGTTACCCTGCTATCAACACCTTCCGGTTTTGCCTTTGCGCCTCAGCGCGAAGGAGAGGTGATGAAGCCCGAGACCTTCAACGAATTGCCGGAGGAGGAGCGGGAGAAAATCAAGGGCACCATAGGCGAGCTCGAACAGGAGCTGGCCTCAATCTTCCAACATGTTCCTGGCTGGGAGAAGGAACGCCGCGCTCAAGTGCATGAGTTGAACCGCGAGGTGGCAACAAACGCGGTGGGCCGCTCCATCCACGATCTCACCTCCATGTTTGAGGGGAATGAAAAGGTGGCGGCCTGGCTTCGGGAACTCGAGGCGGACCTTGTCGAAAATATCGGCCTCTTCACAGCAGAGGAGCGCGAACAACTCGCAGCACCCATGGGGCCAATAGGAGGGGATGTTTTTCGGCGCTACACAGTCAATGTCATCGTCAATAATGGCCCGGATGCCGCACCTGAGCCCACAGCGGGAAACAGCAATGGGGGCTTCATTGGCGGCGGTGCGCCTATCATTACAGAGGAACATCCTGCCTTCGCGAACCTGATCGGCAGGGTTGAGCACATGTCCAATATGGGCGCGTTGGTGACAGACTTCAGTCTCATAAAGGCAGGCTCCCTCCATCGCGCCAATGGTGGGTACTTGCTTATCGATGCGTTGCGGCTGTTGCGCGAACCGCTGGCTTGGGATGGATTGAAACGGGCCCTTAGAACCCAGCGCATCGTGCTGGAGGCACCAGGAGACTATTTGAGCCTCGTGAGCACCGTGGCTCTGGAACCAGACCCGATACCTCTTGATACAAAGGTCATCTTGTTCGGAGATCGCCTGCTCTACTACATGTTGGCTGAGAATGACCCAGAATTCAGCGACCTGTTCAAAGTCTCCGCTGATTTTGATGACCAGATCGACAGAGATGGGGACACAGATCTGCTTTATGCCGAGATGATCGCCACGCTCTGTCGCGAAAACGATCTGTTGCCGCTGACCGCCGCAGCAGTGGGGCGCGTCATTGAAGAGAGTTCTCGCTTTGCGGAAGACGCGGAGAAACTCTCACTTGAAGTGGGTAGCATCACCGACCTGATGCAGGAAGCAGATCTCTATGCGCGGGACGATGCGGCAGACGCAATCGATTTTCTCCATGTTCAGCAGGCGATAGATGAACGGGTCCATCGGGCAGACCGGCTGCGCGAGCGTAGCCTCGAAGCGATAACCCGCGACGTTGTGATGATTGACACAGAAGGCTTTGTCGCCGGCCAGGTCAATGGACTGTCGGTTTTGAGTCTGGGCCAGGCAAGCTTTGGCCGCCCAACCCGCATTACCGCGCGCACACGCATGGGAAAGGGCAACGTGGTCGACATTGAGCGGGAGGTTGATCTGGGGGGAGCGCTTCACTCTAAAGGCGTGCTCATCCTGACAGGCTTTCTGAGTGCACACTTCGCCATCAATATACCTCTGTCGCTCACTGCCACGCTTGTGTTTGAGCAGAGTTATGGCGGGGTGGACGGAGATAGCGCATCGGTTGCAGAGCTGGTGGCCCTGCTTTCCTCCCTGGCGGAGGTCCCGGTTAATCAGGGCCTCGCTGTGACCGGGTCGCTCAATCAGTTGGGGCAAATCCAGCCCATAGGCGGTGTGAATGAGAAGATCGAAGGTTTTTTTGACATTTGCATGCGTCGAGGACTGACGGGGGATCAAGGTGTGATCATTCCTGCCGCCAATGTGAAACATCTCATGTTGCGCCGTGATGTGGTCGACGCGGTGGAACGCGGCATGTTCTCCGTCTTTGCGGCTGAAACAATTGAAGATGCCGTGACAATCATGACGGGCGTTCATGCCGGGCAGCGGGATGAGAATGATGATTTTCCACCCGGCAGTTTGTTTGAACGGGTCGACCAGAGATTGCTGGAATTTGCTGAAGCACAGGTTGCCTTTGGAAAGGATGATAGCGGGGTGACTGCATCATGAATACAAAGCCCGAAGAAGACGCAGAAGCTGACGGCCACAAGATCCTTATTGAAATCGACTCGGCAGTGCCGCAAGCTGAAGCCATCTCCTTTGCCAAACGCATGGGCGATCCGATTGGTGCCAAGCTGGTGGGGTGTTTTGTGGAAAATCAGGCGCTGATGGATTTAGCCGAGCTGCCTTTCGCCTCAGAGGTCTCGTTCAGCGGCATTGTAAAACCATTGGAGACAGAGCGCCTGGCACGCGAGTGGGATGCGCAGGCGGGGCAGGCAAAAGCCGCTTTTGCAGCTGCCGCTTCGGAGATAGGGCTTGAATGGTCGTTCGATGTGAAGCGCGGTCGGCCGCTCTTCGCGGTGCTTGAAAACGCAAGCAAGGAAGACGTGCTGGTGATGAACACCGGCAATCATCTGACTTCTCTAAATGACATTCGGCGTGCATTGCACACAGCAACGACTGACGTGCACGCAGACGTCTTGCTCACCAGTGCCAGACGGGGAATGGGTGCAGGCGATGCGCCCCTCGTCGTGCTGGATGACATGACCAGCCAGGGGGAGTTTTGTGCCCACGCTGCAGAGGTGCTGGCAACACGCGCGGGTATGGCATGTCTCCCCGTTCGTGGAGCGGACA